AACAAGTACTGAAGCGTTACACTCCCCTCCCTTCCGACAACTTTGTATGATGACAGCATTTGTCGGTATCCTAGCTCTGATACCAAATATTGGAAATGACTCACGATCGAAATATGTCGAAACAAATAAAAGAAGCAAAACAAACAACTTGAGGGTTGAGAGAGTTTTTGAACATAGGAACAACCTTAAGCACTTAGTTTTTCAATTCTATTTGTTGTTTTTAAAATAGCATGCATTTCATGAGTATTTACCGTGGATATCCACAACTACTAATAATTCTTACTAATTTAAGACTAACAATTTCCCTAAAAGCCAATAACTTCTAAACAATTAATCTAACATTACTAAGGCTAATAACTTTTTTATTTTTTTGCTAAGTAAGTTTATTAACTAACAACGTCAGCAAATCATACTACAAATTACCATCTTTCATTTTTGGAGAAACGCTCTTATTTGTACTACAACTTATTCTTGTATTTCACTTTCGAAACAAGTGCTCCATGCCCAAAATATGCAAACCCAAGACATACTTTTCTCTTTTGCTATTGAATGTTGTTCTTTTCTGTTATCAATTAAGTCCTTGATGATTTCAGTTGTATTCTTTGCAATTCACCATGCTCCTAAAATGGTGTCCTTTGCTTTCATTTATGGTGCCTGGAGTAAAAAAAAATTCCTAAAATTGAATCCAACAAAAACAAACGAGATAAGATATGTATTATCATCTTATTAGTTAGTCTAGATTGACTTAAACATATTGATTAAGGTTGTATAGAAAACCTAAAAACTCGAAAAACTTGAAAAATCCAACCAACCTAACTCAAAGTTGGGTTACATAGAATATTGAGTTGGGTAGTTATTTTTTCTGGAAACAAATTGGTTTGGTTTGGTTTTTGGGCTCAAAGAAGAAAAAATTCGAGCTAACCCGAATTGAGCCAAGTCCAATACTTTGAGCTTCAGCCTTCCACTTTTGTGTTTTTTTTTTTAAATTTTTTCAACACTGTTGCTACTCTCAATCTATCTCATCTGCAAGCTACCTCCTGCAACTGTTGCTTATAGTTGCATGTTACTCCCGCTCTCACTCTCAATCACATGACCAACCAACCAATCAATCATAGTAACTAGTCACACGACCTAATTCAAAAATAGAGTGTTAGGTTAAGTTGGCTGCGAAAATATTTGTCATTTATTTTGAAAAAATATATATATATATTTTAATGAAATTTTTTAAAACATATTTTATTCTCATAATAATTTGTATTCTAATTATATTGTTCATATTCCCATAGTTTATAATCCATAATCCACAATTTAATTTGTGTTCTATTACGACTTGACGTTCTTTTAATTAGGGTTTCAATAATAAATTTTATTTATACCTCTAATATCTAATTTTCATTTTTATTCAATATTTTATAGAATTATTGAAGTTAAAATATATATAGCTTTAGTCCCTCCTATTTACTTCATACTTCAAATATGAATAAAAATTTTATTTCATTTTTTAAATGTAATTCATTACATAACTTAACTCATTAATTCAGAGGTCCACATTAAAACATTATAGGTTCAAATTTCTTTACTTTCAGGTCCTATTTTAGTTTCTAAGTAAATAATCAATATTGACAATAAAACATGTGACATAGCTTTCTAATTAGGGGAGCATATTCTTCTGTTCAAACAGGAACACAGCTGGGAATTCAAAGAGAATTTGTTGCAGACAACATTGTTTTGGTGCAACTTTTAGCAGCAACTATGGGAAGCTTTCATTCAAGAATTTTTGGCCAGAGCATGAAATTTGGCTTCAAGACCGATGCAACTATTCGCACTGCATTTGGGGTGCAGATGAGAAGGGTTTTTCTTTATATAATAGTCCAACAAAGGTATTCGAGCTCATTCATCCATGGAATCCTTAGACAAATCCATCACCTTCGCCTTACATCACATAAAATATTTTTCGTTGCTACACAAGTAGTGTACTTGATGTAACACAACTCTAACAAAGTGTCTATTAATTGTTTAAGTTCTTAAATATATGGAAACATTTAATATAAAAAATGTGTACATCTCAATTAAAAATTAAAGTTGTTATTCAAGAATAAAATATTGGCGTCAACCTTTAAATCAAAGTCTAGATTTTATAGAAAAATTTCAAGCACAAAAATGAAGTAAATTTGAAATTTATACACCATTTCCGAAAATGAAACACAAATAAATTTTGTNCTGGCTAATGGCAACCAATTAAGTAGTCTTACTATCGGATAGGTTGAACGACTTGTTTAATGTATGATGACATATGTTTGAAATGGGAAGTAGAATCTAGAGTAGCTTTACAGATTCTAAACACATCAAAAAATGGATGCTACGAATTGTCTTTATTTGATTTGTTGTTTACTTTTGCATCAACTCTTAATGCCATCACTTGTTTATCTCTCCAATTTCGAGAGTCACCTTAGAAAGCGATAATTCTTAATTAAAAGGAAGAAGAACTTCTAACAATCTATTGCAAGTCGAAAGCCAATGATTTAGGTAATAAGGTTGTTGCATGATGTAAAATTTTCAATGCGCCACCTTTAGATACATACACACACATATATATATATATTTATATAATTGATAGTTATTTTCTTTTTTTTAAAAAAAAGTGCAACCATTGAAAGTATAATATACAGCAGAAAAAAGTCATTATCGATATTCAACTTCTATGGCGATTTACAAAAAAATAATTATAGTTTGAATGTTAAATTAGAAGTTTAGTTCAAAAGCCCAGAATTATTTAATGCTTAATTGTTTATACAACCTCATATAGTCTCGGTTATTATTTTTTAATTTTTTTTAGTTAAAAAAAATTAGTGGAAAGTTTAAATTTTTGACCTCTTATTCCATGACTTTGTAACTTAATTTGTACTCATCTGACATAAATTTCTAATACAAGGAGCATATCCTTCTGTTCAAACAAGAATGCTGTAACGATCCTAGATTTCTACTTATCTAGAGTCACTATCGTAATCATAACTTAATCATTTTGTGAAGAAATAAGTGTTTAAACTTCATCATAAGATATAGACTTTATCTTAAAACACTACAATAGAGCTACGTGTTCGAAAACACGTTTAAAACGACACAACAAAATATTAAATGAAATAAATTAACATTATAATTAAAAACACTCTATTCTAATCTAACTCTAAGAAAAAAAATACTACCCTTTGCATGTTTCATGGTCTCGATGGCTATGTAGTCGTTAGTCGTACAAAGGTGCCTTGCCTTTACCTGAAATAGCAGTAGCACATGACTTAAGTATTAAAAGAAATACTCGGTATGTAACCCCCACTATTGGGGTTAGATGCAAACACAACAATCATGTGTAGTACCTATCGTATAATTCTATATTCCTTAGGTGTTTATACTAAACGAGTTAATGGGATGTGTATTTACTGTTGTACAAACGGTCCACATGTGCGACTATGAACCCACCAGTTAGTTCGCACACCTCCTGGGCCCCTTTCATGGTCAGACGAGCATTCTCTAGAGCTGTTGATGTCGGACACCCGCTAGGCATAGCGACCGTCGTAGCATTATGATAAACATAATGATCATTTTTCTGCCTCGTAGTGTACGTGTCTATATCATTGTAAAATAGGGGTATTCCTGGATGCATGAACGAACAATGATGCATGAGATCCCAACATTTTTATTCATTATCATGTAAGACAACCCCTTCCATTTTTCCTTCATATCATAATCTTTATCATAGTTTCCTTACATAAATTGTGATTATGCATTATGTCCACATATTTTTGTGGTATATCATTCATATCATGCATCGTGTCATATCATATCATATCATACATACATCATATCATCAGCATATCATGTACTATATCGCCAAACATGTTATACAATAACATTTATCATATGATCAGTACATCATCATACCACATGTCATAACATTCACGTATCATCTCATAGTCACGTTGTATCACGAACATATCATGGACTTATTATCTCGTAAACATATCATAGTCATAATATTTTGTAAATACACTACAGTCATATCGTTACATAAACATAACCTAGTCATATTCTTTCATGGTCATATCATTTCATAAACGTATCATAGTCATGTCATTTCATAAACATATTCTTATCATATCATTTCATAAATATATCATTGTCATCTCATTTCATAAACACATCTTAGTCATACCATTTCATACACATATCCTAGTCATATCGTTTCATAAACATATCATAGTCATGTCATTTTCTAAACGTATCCTAGTCTTATCATTTCATAAACATATTCTAGCCATATCATTTCATAAACATATCCTAGTCATGTCGTTTTCTAAGCGTATCCTAGTCATATCGTTTCATAAACATATCCTAGTCATATCATTTCATAAAGATATCTTAGTCATATCGTTTCATACACACACCATAGTCACATTGTTCCGTAAACATTTCAAACATATCAAGCATATATCACGTATAGAACCACGAGGCACATGTCATGATACAAACATCAAATTTTAACCAAACCGTTAGTAAGGTCACTTATTTGGTTTGCATTAGCAAGTGTTCTCCTTACACTCGAGTTTAACCAAACCGTTAGTAAGGTCACTTATTTGGTTTGCATTAGCAAGTGTTCTCCTTACACTCGAGTGCAATTGACTATGTGTATTTTATTTCCCGACCTTAAGGCAAGTGCTACATATTAATTTATGCCATATTACTAAGTTCAAAACTACAAAATAATCTTTTTTTTAAAAAAAATTATTATAGGTTACCACTACTCTAAAAGAGTTGAGTTTGAGTTAAAGTCAGGTTGAAAATGAAAAATGTTGTCATTTGTTAATCAAAAGTGAAAATAAAAACTCATACAATTATGCTATAATTTTACTTATGAACATTCCTTGAATATCATATTCACAATTAAGTCCTTACTTAATAGTCAATCATTATTATTCTCCCCGAAGAAAGAAATTTCATGCGCGGTTCTAAAGAGCTAGAACCTCAGCACTGTCTCCGTTTTCCTCTATTTCATCAAAGTAGTCCTCTTGAGCATTTTCAGCAAACATTAGGGCAACCAACCAGAAGAGGGATGAATCAAGGTATAGAAATGCACTTCCACCAAGAAGACCAGTCATAGCGGTCGGGCATGCTGTCTCAAGATTGTGATGAACGTTGCGAGTCAAGTAAATTTGGTTGGTGACTGTAGGCCATACGAGCAAAGTTATAGCCAATCCAGTTGTGAACCTGCAAACACAGAGGTAGCTTGATTAATAACGTTTCCAAATCACTTTTTAGGTAACAGTTAATAGTAAAGGATGTGATTTGGAAAGAGAAGTTACAGGGCAATGTTGAAGAAAATAGAGAAACTAGTGCTCTTAAAAAAGGCACCTCGAGGAACGGATTTTCGTTGGTAAGGATAGATCAAAGAGAAGTATCCTGCAATTAAAGAAGCAAGAAGAAATGCAAGGGAAAGATATCCGAGGGCCACAGTTGGGTCCGCTGGATACTGACAGATAACAATGCCTTTGCCTAGGATGGGAGTTCCAGATGCAAGCCCATAAGCAATCACAACGAGAAAGGATAGTGACCATCAATGAGGGAGCTTGGAAAATTATATGATATTGCATTGCGGAGGTTCTCATCTTGTTGTGATTATTTCAAATGCACAAATATCTACCCAATAAGAATCAACCAATTTGTGTCGGTGAAAAAGTGAGTAATTAAAGGGTTGATAAGAAGATTGTAGTATGAAGAGCAAGAATGCTCTATATATACATAGAATACAAAAATATATTTAGAAAATCTACGAAAAAATCTGAAAAAAATAAAATAAAATAAAATAAAATAAAATAATAATAACAATAAAAATAAAAATAAAAAAATAAAAAATAAAAATAAAATAAATAAATTGGAAACAACCATGTAAACAAATAAAAAACTAAATCAAATCAAGACTAAATTTACTTCTAACTACTAGTAGATTTAATAACATACCAATCTAAACAAACACGTGATCTTAACATTCCTCCTTGTTTGGATGTTGTGAACTCCAAGCTTTTTCCTAAATACCCAATCTTACTCAAATTATCTTTCTGTTTAGAGGTCGATCAACTAACTCCCTGATTTTGTTTTTCTCAATCACCGAAAGCTCCTCCTCTGATAGGTGCATCATCAACCAAAGCATCTTGTCGTTCATCTTCATACTATTCTTATCGTTCATCTTCAGACTCTTCTAACATGCTACCAAAAATTAAATTGTTTGGTGCATTATAAATCTGATTCACCTTCGTCAGTCCTTCCCAATTCCATTGCTCATTTCCAGCAAAATGAACATCTTGGCTCACAATAACACGACTAGTGTGTTTTTGAGAAACTCTATAAGCTTTGGATATGGTGTTATACCCAACAAAGATGCCAGCTTCTGCCTTTTTGTCAAGCTTATCACGCTTGATCTGTGGAATGTAAGTGAAGCAAAGACACTCAAATACTCTAAGAAATATTAAAGAAGGTTTGTAACCATACCAAACTTCAAATGGTGTCAGGTCCTTCACAGCTTTTGTTGAAATTTGATTTTGCAAGCACACAACAGTGTTTCCTACTTTTCCCCAAAAACGTTTTGGAAGATCCTTGTAACGACCCTAAATTTCCACATACTCAGAGTCGCTACTAACGTCTCATGCTCATCTATAATGCGGAAATATAACTCTTACATGAACATAATTGATAACGTAAAATTCAAAAAAAAAAAACGTTTAAAACAACTCCTTCTCTGGAAAACACAGCCATGGTCTTACGTGTTTGAATATGAAATACTGAAATTTAGAGAAAACAAAAACAAATACAAAATAATTTAAAACAATGAAATGCAAAACAACCTATTCTAACTTAAGACTAGAAATTTAAATGAGTCTACCCTATGCACATGCCACAGTCTCTGCTCGCGATGCCGCCGTCCTCCGTACAAGTGCGCCTTGCCTTTACCTGAAAAATGATGTGGCACACGGCCTGAGTATTTCAAAGAATACTCAGTAAGTGGCCCCACTATAGGGGGCCATGCAAATGCAAACACATGCAATCATGATTTAGGAACCTATCTCTAATCATCTTAGGGGTGGCCTCCAGTCTCGGACAAATTGGGTGTGTAGTACTTCCCTACACATGACTCACACGTGCGAGTGTGAATCCCCAGTGCGCTCGCACACCCCCTGGACCCTCTGGTCAAGCTAATCTGTAGCGACGTCCGGAGGTCAGCGGAACCCCATAGTGTCATGCGCCTCATGAACACTCTCATCTGTGTGCATTTGCACCTGTGCGCATTCGCACTCATCATACGGTGCGGTCCGCACTCATCATCTCTAGGAGAAGTAGCCCTATGCTTATGAACATACAATATGCATGAGGTCCCTCTAAATCCATCATAATGTCTCTTCTGACACAACCCTCTAGTCTCATCTCTTTGTTACTCTAGGTAACACATACTCGTGGATATTTATATTAATATCATTTTCACGCTCTTAGGGTTGTGTCCTATGTCGATCTAACGACATGATGCAATATGGCACTCATCATCATATAGCATGCTCAATATGGAAAACATCATCATATTAAGGTAAACGTCACGCAATCATCATACTCATCATATTGCCACAAAGTGCATCAAACATATCAAGTACGACATTCATCAAAATATATATATACTGAGCACATCATCAAGTATCGTAACCCACACATCATCATAAGTCATACATCATCATAACTCATATACCGCATCGTACGACATAGTTCATACAACATTGTAACTCATACAATTTTTAGCCTATCCTACAGTAAGGCCACTTACCTGGTTGGCCTTAGCCAATGTATTCCCTAATTTAATTAACGTAAGCTCCCGTTCCTCAAGAGCTGCTCCAAAGGTCGCTAGAGTTTGCTTCATATCGAACCGTTCTTCACCTTTCGTTAGCATTTCACATTTTAATTAATAATCCAACTAACAATGTGAAATACAGCTCTAAAACGGTCTCAGTAAAAATCGAATTCCACGTTTTCATTGTTCCTAAATTTTGGTTGGGTAGTAAAACTTAAATTAAAAATATGTCAATATTATTTCATGGTGCTTCAATCAATCAATCCCGTTTGTTATAATATTATATTCTCTTGGTACAAGTAATAATAATTTCTCACATCTTCCATTTTCCTTCTCTATGTTGTACCACTTTTGTTTCTCCTCTCTCTGTCTTCTTTTTCTTTCCTATGAATGACTATGCAATTATAAAATAATATTCAATCAATTCTGTTTTCTTCTCCTCCCTCGTATGACCATCCATTAATAGAAGCCATTTTCAATTTTTTTTTCTTCTCTTTCCTAAAAAACTACTCTCATTAACGGAAGCCATTTTCTATTCTATTTTCTTCTCTTTCCTTTTTCAATCTATTATGTTTTATTCTCTTTCCTAAAAACTACTATCAACCGAAGCTATTTTCAATCTATTCTGTTTTCTCCTCTCTCTCAAATGACTATCCATTGGAGGTGTCATTTTCAATCTATTTTAATTTTCTAAAAATGCCTATGCATCCATGGATTATGATTTTCTTCTCTTTCTAAAAATGATGATTCAATTTAATGCAATTCACAAAGCCATTTTCAATCAATTTTGATTTTCGATCTGATATCACAAATCTAAATAATTGAAAAGGAGATCTAACATAACTTTTCTATCTCTGACAAAAGATAAAAGAAAAAGGAGATCTAACTTACCGATTAGTTTTCCATCTCTTTCCATTCCTATTCAATCTGTTTGAAGTAAGGCCATCTCCAATTCTTCTCTCACAAAATCTGTGATCTTTCCTTTGTTTCTTTCTCTAAATTTTTCCCTTCTCAAAATTTGCCATTTTTTTGTTTTTGTTTAGTTTTTTTTTTTTTTTTCAGATCATTTTGCAGTTGTAGGAGGTGTCGGGGAGATATTTGGGGAAGGTGGAGAGAGAGAGTGATAATTTACTTTTTTATTTTTTATTTTTTTATTTTTTTATAATTATTATTTACTTCTTCTTATTATTATCTCTTTTTTTTTTCTTTTTTTTTACGGGTCGTTACAATCCTTCTCATGAAGCATGCATCTCGTCATCTCCATTATGAATCTATTCCTCCTTTCACTGACGCCATTCTATTGAGGAGTGTATGGTGCTGTCAATTGATGTTCAGTTCCAACCTCTTCACAAAACCTTAAAAGTTTCTGAAGTGTACTCCTTGCCATTAACTGACCTTACATTTTGAATCAAGCATGCACTTTCATTCTCAACTCTGGCTTTTAACCGGTTTATACGTATTATAACGCATACGTGTGACCCTTGAGCATGTCATAATTATGATTGTTATGCTATCCAATGTTGTGTTATGCCATGTTTATAAGTTAGACGATAGTGTGACTATACTATGTTGTAATAATATGTTATTATTGATGATAATCTATGATGTGTTATATCGTGTCGTGTATATGAAAGATTTTATAAGTACGTTATAAATGAAATGAAGGTTTGACTTGCATCATAAATTTATGTCATTATTTTAAGGCATGGGGACCTCATGAATTTTTGTGTGTCATATGCATCATGATACTTTTCTATTATGATTAGTACAAATATGTACTTTACGACTTACGACAATTATGTTCGTCGTGATGTTACGCAGGCCCTTTCCCTTCATGGTGTCTGAAAGCACATTAGTGAGTGCTAGTCCATTGAGACGGGCCTAGGAGGTACATGAGTCCTCAGTTCAGTCCTTGTGCTCCTGGTTCGGTCGTGCGTAGCAAAATACTATACATCCACCCCTGCGGGAACTGGAAAGCTACCTAAGGCAATGTCATGTTGTTTTTTAAATAATAGAACCTATCATGTCACATGGTAGCTCTCTATGCCGGATACCCGTTAGAAATACTAGCCGTCATGGCAGCATTACGTAAACATAATGGTAGTTATGCTGCCTAGGGGTGTACACTTTCTTTGAACGCTTTCTTTCTAAAAATTGAAACTAGGAGGAAAGAGTCCGAGCAAAACAACCAAAATTTTAGCCTTGAGCCGTTAGAAAGTGTACTCTCTGACTAGCACGAACCGTTCATTTAGATGATAAAATGAAGTGGGGGACCTCTCGTTTTTATAGTGGAGGCCAACCCGCCACTTCTCAGCTTTAGCAACGTGGCACAAAGTTTCGCTTCTTTTATTTATTTTTTATTATTTATTTTTTTTATTTTTCGTTTATACATCATACACGTCAAGGTGAAATTTTCGTCCTCGAAAGTGTCTTAATGTTGGAATTATTTGGGTACTTCTCCTTGATCTCTTCCCTCTCTTTCCACGTAGTTTCTTTCTTTGGTAGTCTTGTAAAGATCATTAGCCTTGTACATGTTTTTTTTTTTTTCTTTCTTTGTGTATGAGCATAACAAATAATCTTTAATGATATTTTTTTATTAAAAAAATGTTGGGCCAATTAGTTGGTTTCATATTAGAAAGTTGAAATTGACTTTCATTCTTTTTTTTTTTTTTTTTTTAGGAAAATTAACTTGATTTCTTTGCATATATCCAATTTATGATATTAACCTTGGCATTTCTAATTATTATATATATTTTCTTTTCGTCCTAATTTGTTGGCTTTAAAATGTTAAAACCTAAATTATTACTTAATTCTGAAAGGGTTTTGAGTAGAGTGATACCCGAGTAAAAGAGAGTACATGAATGAACCAAGATTATATCCGATAAAGTGACCTAGAGTATAGATGACTAAGAAATGCTTAAAAAGAATTGAAACTTACTACCTATATCAACGAGATGCACTTTCCTTTTTGTTGGCTTAATCATAAGAACTTCGAGATTAAATGTGCTTTTCTTGGAGCAATTTTATGATGGAAGACCTCTTGAGAATTTTCGTAGCAAACATGTGAGTGAGGAAAAGACATGTTGGAAGGACTCATGTTTGTCGTGGAGATAGTTTTCACTTTTAGAAGCGAGGAGTAAATGTAATAACCCGAAAATAATAAATAAATTAATAAATTAATAAATTAATTAAATAAAAATAAAAATAAATAAATAAATAAATAATAATAATAATAATAATAATAATAATAATAATAATAAAAAAAAAAAAAAAAAAGAAAAGAAGAAAAGAAGAAGAAGACAGCAGCAGCTTGAAGCTGCTGCCATGGAGAAAGGAAGAATGGACAGGTGTGAAGGGAAAAGAAAGAAAAGAGAGGAAGATAGAGGATGTGGAAGCGTATTAGGTTTTAAAAAGGAAGAAAAACGAAGAATGGTGATTAGCGAAAAACCCAGAAAACAGAGGAGGAAATTTCTTGAGAATTCGAGTTTTGGTTGCTTAAAATTGGACATTAATCGAGGGTAAAGGAAGAGGAGTTGTTGCTGAGGAATCATTTGGGGAAGGGGATACGGCCACGAGCTGAATCGGACGGTGATTCGAAGGTAACGAAAAACCCATATCACCGAACCTTTAAATCTCGATATCTTGGTTCGTATTGTATAATAAGTTATGATATAGGGCTTGTTAGAAACGTAATAAGGAGATCTACAAATTTGTAGAAGGAATCAGGATGAAATTCGAACCGTAGAAGGAGGATATGGCTTCGGGATATAGTAGGTATTAACAGAAAAGGAAAAAAAAAATTTCAGAAAAAAACGAAAGGAAGAAGAAGAAGCGCGTGCACTACACGCAGGCGCGTGAGGGCCGCGACTGGCGCGTGCGACTGGGCGTGCTCCTGGCGCGTGGGACAGACACACCGAGGCGCGTGAGGGCGCGTGAGGGCGCGTGAAGCATCAGTTCAGTTCCCGGTTTGTTTCGTTCGATTTGTTTTGACCTGTTCTACCTAGATTGACCTATACTTACCTTGAAAATGGTGAAATATAGGTCTAATTGGAAGGAATTGTGTGGAAATACCCTATTAATGTACAATCAAGAGAGAAAGGGATTCGAAACCAGGTAAGTAGCGTATTGACCTTTGAACTCGTTCTTAACTTGTTTTACAACATGTGAGTATGTTGTTTACCTGATTAAGAGCTTAATAAGTTATGATGAGCTTTGATGATATTTAGTGTTTATTGTATATTGTGACTGCTTGCCTGTGATGTAAGCGTGATATAAACGATTGTCAGAATGTTCTACGTGTTGATCATGATACATGTATGAAAGCATGCAGTAACTGTGGGTATGTTATGCATGTTAATGGAAAGGTTATGACTCTAGATATGCTTATTGGTGGTTGAGCTATGGATTATTTACTGAGTATGATAGTCTACTAATTCCCGCGGAGTTCCTGGCCAACGCGCTGTGTGCTAAGTCAGGGAGCATGAGAACTCCTGACCGTTGGTATATGAGATAAACAGGCCGCTAGAGCAATTAGTAGACGGGCCGTATTTGACCGAGAGCGAGTCTTACATACGAGTCCGAAAATTCTAGATAAGCATATTGAGAGAGAGTCAGTAACCTAGCTGGAGGTAGCTGAGATACCTCATTAACGAACAGATGACCCTAGTAAGAAAACTAGGAGTCAGTGGTAAATAAAACGTGAAACCACCTGGAAAGATTAGTTATGAATCTGTGAATGATATGCTAGCTACTTACTGAGTAATCTAATTACTCATCAGAATTATCATAACTTTTCTTTCCAGATGTAGACGCTGCAGGCCAGCCGAGGACGAGACCAGCGGGCTAGAGACTACTGGGAATCCATGTCTGGGTCTATTATGTAATTATGTTTTCGCTGTCAAGAATTTACTTCGGTTGTTTTAAGTTTAAATAGCACTGGTTTTAAATGTTTTACTGGATGTTTTTTTTTAATATTTTAAAGATTATGATTGGGTGTTAGAGTATGTTGTCGTTGATGATGGTAACTCCTGTTAATCGCGTTGACGATGAGCGGGTGTTACAGTAAATAACCTTACAATATTGTTAAGGGAATATTAGGGCCATTAACGGCCAAATCTAGAGTTTAAAAGCTTGCACATGGGTCTATACAAGTAGAAACTTGAAACCCAACAAAATTATCAACATCGAAAGAACTATAAATTTCTAAAAGATTTCTCCCCTTTTATTAGACTTAAATATGCAACATATTTAAGTCTATAAAGAAACCCCACGAAAACTCTAGAATTATTACATGTAAAAGCAAGCAAACATAAAAGGAAAAATGAGTGAGGTTGATTTTACTTCATTTTTCCCAAGGGTGTATCAATTCAAACTTCCGGGAAAGAGGATTTTTAAGTAAAACCCAATATCAAATGCTGCCCAAATACAGTTTTTAACGTTGCATCGTTCAGAAAGCATGTCCATTCGAACTGTTAAAATTGCACCAATACAAAGTCGTATGCCAAAAGTTCATTTCAAATCTCCAGTGGAATTGGGCTCGCTTGTCCAAAACCTGTTCGTTCAAATCGTTGTCTTTTGACTTGCAATGAGCATTTAAAACTGAGTTTGTTTGATAATCGTAAATAGTCACTTGCCATTTGCCTTTTGGTAAATGCTAATTTTCCACTACAGCTTGTCATTTGGAACGTGCAAAACATGTGTGTTGATAATAATGCTTGATTCCAAAGCAAACAATAAGATAACACCGAAGCTAGTTAGAGTCTTCATTTTATTAAAATACTCAAATTTGTGTTGTTGATATTTAATCATTTGGATTTCGGTTCATTATATAGCAAAATAAAAATAAAAATAAATACCTATTTTTAACAAGCTATTAAAGCCGTTTGAGAAGCTGATTTAAGGTTGATATCCACTCTAAAAATTAATTCCTATGAATGTTTTGAGGTTGGATATCCATATTTGTTGCATAGTAATAAATATCAATTCTTTTTCATTTGCTGTTTTTGGTGGACATGAAAAAACAAAGTTGTGTTAAACAAAAACTAGACGGTTACATTTTCTATATTTTCTCCTTAATTACCCTTGTAAAGGGGAGATTTAAGGAAGTGTTATAAATGGTTGTTTTGTGGATGTTTATCAATTTTTTATTCTCTTTAAACTAGAAGAAAAATAGATATATGATTAATACTGAGAGAATCACAACAAAATCAAAATTTAAGAAGTGTGGTCGAATGTTCAAATATCCAAATTCATGGCTAGTCGATATTGTCCGTTTTGTCCACTTTGGCACGTTATGTAATATGGTTTGCTTCACGGTTTTAAAATGCATTTTTAAGGAGAGATTTCCACACTAAATTTTCCTATTTAACCTAAGACCGTTACTTCAGA